AGCCTATAAAATTAATACATTAAAAACTGGCAAATATGTTCTCATTTATTTTAATTCAGCCCGTCCGCAAGCAAAAGCATTGGAAAAGAACGCTTTGCAAACTGCCCCCAAAGATTTTCTCAACCGTTATCTCTTAATCAACCTAGAGGATGAAAAAAAGAATAAAATTAAATTAATAAATAAAAAAGATAAAGATGCTGAACAAAGTTAAAATAATTGGTAAAATCCTAATTAAAGAGTTTGAAAAACTAAACGAAAAAAAAGTTGACGATGCTGTGGCTGTTGCTCCTGAGGCAATGCCTGAGACAGATGAATCACGAGCAGAAGAGCCAACAGAAGCCAAAAAACCGGAACCCAAATTCCCGAAAAAAAAAAGAGAACCCTGATTTTATTTTAACTTGCTTGCCCCAGTCCCTAGTGGTTCACTAACCATTTTGCGCTGTATCACTCAAGGGGAAATAGCCACCAGAATTAATGAGGAAGTTCAAGAAGAAGATGTGATTGAAGTGCGGGGCTACTTAAGAAACGAAAAAGATAGCCGTCAAATATTAGTGCGAGCGACGGAATTTACTAAACTCGATATAAGTTTTTCGAAAATTGATCTCGAAAATTCTAACCAGGTTCGATTGCTTGGCAAAGTGCTTAGTGATTTGGAACCCCTGGAAAAAAAACGCAATCCGGAAGTGCTATCCTTTAAATTGGCAGTCCCCCGCGAAGGAGTTAAATCACCTCTTTTCTTTTGCCGAATTAATGAGAAAGAATTAGTGAGTGAGTTTTGTGAAAAATTACAAAAAAATGATGTCATTCTCTTAGAAGGGTTTTTACAAACCCAAAAAATAGTGCAGGAGGAAGAAGGAGAGAAAAAAATTATCCGTGTTTCCTCGATTATCTGCTCTGGATTTACTCTCCTTGACAGTGATTTGGTAGATATTTTCCGACCCCTCGATAATTTGACTCGGGTAGTCAAAAGTATTAGAAAAATCGATTTTAGTAAGCCCAAAACCAAGACCAAAGCAGACGAACCAGTAGAATAAAGAAAATGACAGAAGGAAATCCTGAAAAAAAAGTTAAGAGTTACAAAAAAAAAATCGGTCCACAAACGGACTATTTTTGCCGAGAAGGTATCGGATATATTGATTGAAAAGATATTGTCACGATCCGCAAATTTATGAATAAGCAAGGGCGGATTATTTCCCGTAAATATAGTCAGTTAACCCCTAAAAATCACCGACGGGTTGCTAGGATTATCAAAAGATTGCGGCAAATGGCTCTGATACCTAATGAAATAGTCGACCAGAGCGAAGAATTAAAAAAATAATCTAGTATATAACGAACAGCCAAAGTCTAAAATCATGAAAAAACGAGAAAAAGTTATCCTCTTACAGAAAAGTAAGTGAGGGCAAAAATATGAAATAAAAGAATTACGGAGGGGTTTTGTGGTGAATTATTTGTTGCCTCGCAAAGAAGTCCGCTTGGCTAATGAAAGGAATCTTGCCTGGTTAGAACAAAAGCAAGTTCAGCAAACCCAATCCGATTCACTATTAGAAGCCGAAGCCCAAAGAATATATGACAAGATTAATAATCTTTCCTTTGATTTTACTTTGAAAAAAGATGAAAAAGGCAAACCATTTGGTTCAGTGGGATTTAAGGAGATTTTAACAGCCTTAGAAAAAGTTGGTTTTTCAGGTCAAAAGAATCAATTATTAGATTTTCATCCTCTTAATAAATTAGGAGAAAATATAATAAAAGTAAAGTTAAGTAATAAGATAATTGCTAATTTAAAAGTAATAATAAAATAATAATATATAATAGAATTAACAATGGCAACTACTAAATTAACTAATTTTGAAATTAAAAAACTGGAAGACAAGAACTTAAACGCTTACTATCTGATTGTGAATAATAATAATCGAGATGAGGCTTATTTTTGTTTTGAAAGAATGGTAAAGGAGGGTTGGGATATTTTAAGTAAAAATCCGGCCCCTATTAATATTGAAATTGAATACGAAGAGAACGAACAAAACGGCAGGATTTACAAAAGAGTAACAGCCTTATATACAGATGATAATATTTTTGTTTAATAATAAAAGAGAAAAAGAATAACGCTTTTCTCCTAAATCTAATGTTCTAGATAGTATCATGTCCAAAATCGCTAAACGCATTATTTTAATCCCTGAAAAAGTAAAAATTAATTTCGGAAAAGGAACCATTTCAACCGAAGGTCCATTAGGTCAGGGCGAGGAATTGGTTGTCCCCTCTAATTTAGAAATTACTCAACAAAAAAACGAGTTAACCACTAAGTCTGATAATTCGGCTCTGGCTGGCACTTATAACGCTTTAATCTCTAACATGATAAAAGGAGTAGTAGAAGGCCACGAAAGAGTGGTGGAAGTAAAAGGGGTCGGATATAAAGTATCTTCGCAAGGAGGAAAATTAGAATTTTCTTTGGGAAAATCGCATCTTATTTACATGGATATTTCACCAGAGTTGACGGCAAAGGTAGAAGGAAATAAAGTAATAATTAAAGGTAAAAATAAGCAAAAAGTTACGAGTCTAGCCGCATCCATTAGAAGCCTCCGTCTTCCCAGTATCTATAAGAAAAACAAAGGCATTTATTATCTGGGAGAATCCGAAACTATTAAATTGAAAGCCAGGAAAAGTAAACAAAAATAAATATGCCTACTATTAATCAATTAATTAACAATCCCCGAGTACCTAAACTCAAAAAGGCTAAACTGTTGGCTCTAAAAACCAATTGAAATTCCCGCCGAAAAAAATATTCGTGGGCTAATAATCCACAAAAGTCCGGAATATGCGAAAAAATAGGAGTAACAAAGCCAATGAAACCTAATTCAGCTAATCGACCCTTCGCTCGGGTTCGTCTCAAAAATAAAAAAGTAATTACTGTCTATATTCCCGGTGAAAAGCACAATCTTCAAGAATATTCCTCGGTGCTAATTAGTGGAGGTGGTGCCCAAGATTTACCTGGGGTGCAATACCATATAATTCGAGGCTATGGCGATGCGGAGGGAGTCAAAGAAAGAAAACAAGGCCGCTCTCTCTATGGAGCCAAGAGAGCAAAAGAAACAAAAGGTAAATAATTTCATAAAAGAGTCAACAAGGGCTTTACTAAATTAAGCATTAATTTTCCTGGCCATTTTACAAGACCGCCAAATAACCAATATTCTGAATTTTTTCTTGGGCTGATTCTTTCCCAACTATCATTTTCATGCTTCGAAACTGTTTCTCAGTGATTAAGAAATAACGAACATTTCCCGTCATTGGACTATTTTTTTCTAGTTTCTGGGCCGATTCTCGTGCGTAATCAAAAGTATGACAAAGTTTAACATAAACCGAAAATTGAAGCATGTAATAACCATTAGTTAACAAGTATTTGTGAAAATA